AGGCAGCTCTCACGAGGTATTCCCCAACAGTTCACCATTACCTACTCACTGCTGACAACTTTCAAAGATGGAACACAGTATTTTCCACCAACACAGTACTTGCAAAGTGGAGATAAAAAGCTCAGTTTCAAAGACAACATCACACAGGCAGTGGAGCTGCCTTGGAGTGCTCTGACTGCACAGACAAAGCTTCAGGGATTCAGGGTACCATCCCTAAGGGCTGTTTCTAGAATATTCACCCATATGATTAGGTTAAGGTTCAACAAATTGACTGCAATCAGAAAATTAAATTAAATCACACTTAAAACAACAACAAAGACTTACATTTAAGACTGCATCATAGCAATAAGGTCTATGTAAGTAGGCTAAATTTTAAGTTGCTTTCAGCCTAAAAACACAAACCAGCATAGGTTGAAACTGAGAGAAGAGAAACAGTAAGAACTTTTACCCATACAAAAAAATCACAGAACAAAAACACAACCAATGCATCAAAACAGATCTGATGTGCTTACTTGGATGTACAAATCTCAGCCCGTTCTCTGTGAATGGTTAAATGGAATAAAAGAGGCTGCACCTCGTTATATTTTTCTCCCCTTTCAAATTCATAAAACAGCCAAAGCTCCTTTCTGTTGAGAAATTCAGACCATTATTTTTTTCCATCGGATAACAGATGACCACAGAACTAGCCAATCTTTTACTGATAAGCTGAAAGGAATGAAAAGCAGGTTTTAAAGCATCTCCTTATATAAATCACTCAACTTAAAAACAACTGGAAATAGTCTCATTAAAAGTGAATGGAAAAGTTCCTCAGTCAGAAAGCTCTGACACACAAGTTTCTTAACCCACCCTCAGGACTGTCCTGTAGAACTTGCCTGTAAGATCTAAAATCCCATTTCTGAAGTGCAGCCATGAAGAAATCATAAGCTAAAAAAGGCTGAAAAATACCTCTCAAGGTATCTTCTTCCTGCATAAAAAACTGACAAGTTGCCCTCAAAATATACTTTAGCAATTCCCCCCAGGCCCCAAATGTTTTGCTTCAAGTGAGAAATCAGTCTGTCTTTAATTGCATATCCCTGCTGTTCAACAAGTGCAACAGAGCAAACCAGAGATTTTTGTACAATAGCTACTTTAAAGCAGTTCTCTACTTAAGGTCAAAGTTGCAGAGGGGTCAAATACCACTCTGCATAATGTAGAAGCCTATTCAAAGTGCATATTCAAGACAAACAGGTTATGTCTCACCACCAAGAGAATAGTTCTGAAGCTATGATTGTTTTTCTAAACTTTTTCTGTTCTTTTATGTGGTACTTTATGGTCCAAGGAGTGATCTCTTTTTTCCCCTACCTTTGCAAAAAAAAAAAAAAAGAGAGAAAGAATGAAAGCAACATTTGGAGGTTCAAGAATTAGCCTCATACTGCCAGAAAACCACTACAAGGGGGCTGTGTATTCTCCTAAAAAGACCACTAACATTGCTGCTGACCATCCTGTACCCCTAAAACACCACTTTATGTGTTTGTGAGGGTCTCCCATAGGCACTTCTTATACAACAGCAAAATCATTTGTACTGAACTGGCAAAGGATTCTTTTCTACATACAATCAGAAATCCCATCTTTCATGACCTGACTGTTACACATCCCTCCAAGAAAATAAGGGATATTGCTTAATGACACATGAGCATGTAGGACATCATAAACTCTTTAAAAAAGATTCAAGTCAGCATGAAGTTTGATTGCCCCCAAGAGAACTGCTAAAATACTAAAGATTTTCAAAGACGCATACTTATGGTCACTGTCAAGCTTTCAGGGAAGAAGCCAACAAGTTTAGCCAGATTTTTCCACATCTTCTGGCATTTTACAGTCTTCAGTATTGAGCCAAGAGCAGAAAAGCCAGCAAATATCTTTTTTTTATTATTATTATTTTCATTTTAAAAAGAAAGAGAAGTTTTTCAGCTTCCAATTCCCTTTCTCAAGGGCACCAGGAACATTAAACCTTCCTTAAGACAGCCTAAAACTTCGGCAACAGTCCTCTCATCATCCCAAACTGAATATCATTTATTGTCTTGATAACAACTTAAGAATTCTGGAAAATACTATGACATCAGATCTAGCATTGCTGATATGAAGCTTTACAATTTTCTCCCTCAAAGAAGTTGTTTCTACAGCACCTGAGAGAATAAACCCAAGAAGTTTCCCTGGCCCTGTGAACTAGGTGGTAACTTGAAATCACCCCAAGTATTGCAGTTATTTTGTCACCTAGAAGTGGGAAAGACATCCAGCTGCAAGGAACAATGCTATACAAATCAAGCAGCTGGAAGTCTTGAATGAGGAGCAGAATGAAAACTCCATGATTCAGGTAGAAACTGTTAGAGACCCACTAATCCACCTGGACCACCAGGTCTGTGGGGTCAGATGGGATCCACCCAAGGGCGCTGAGGGAGCACTGGTGGAGGTGATATTCAAGCCACTTTCCATCATTAATCAGCATTCCTGGTAAACTGGAAAGGTCCCAGAGGATTGGAGGCTTGTCAACATGACTCCTACCTACAAGAAGGGATGTAAAGAGGATATGAAGAAAGGCTAAGTGAACTGGGTCTGTTTAGCCTTGAGAAGAGAAGACTGAGAGGGGACCTGATCCAGGTCTATAAATATCTAAGGTGTGGGGGGCAAAGTGGCGAGGCCAGACTGTTTTCAGCAGTGTGCAGAGACAGGACAAGGGGAAATGGCCAGAAGCTGGAGCATAGGAAGTTCCGCACAATGTGTGCAAGAACTTCTTTACGGTGAGGTGACGGAGCACTGGAACAGGCTGCCCAGGGAGGTGGTGGAGTCTCCTTCTCTGGAGATATTCAAGACCCGCCTGAACGCCTACCTGTGCAACCTGGTGTAGGGATCCTGCTTTGGCAAAGGGGGTTGGACTCTATGATCTCTGGAGGTCCCTTCCAACCCCTACGATTCTGTGATATGGGGAACTACAGGCCTGTCAGCCTGACCTTGGTGCCAGAAAAGGTTATGGAGCAGATCACCCTGAGGGAGATCACATAGCATGCATGAGACAAACAGAGGGAAAAGGCAGGTTGTGCTTGACCAATCTGATCTCCTTCTAGGATCTAGTGACCTGCCTGGTGGATGAAGGAAAGGCTATTGGATGTAGTCTATCCAGACTTCAGCAAAGCCTTGGGCATGGTCTCACACAGTGTTCCCCTGGAGAAGCTGCAGCCCATGGCTTGGACAGATATACTCTGCTGAGTAAAGAACTGGCTGGATGGCCAGGCCAAGAGACTGGTGGTGAATGGAGTCACATCCAGTTGGCAACCAGTCACTAGTGGTGCTCCCCAAGGGTCAGTATCAGGGCCTGTCTAGTTCAATATCTTTACTGATTACCTGAATGAGGGCATTGAGTGCACCCTCAGTAAGCTTGCAGATGACACCAGACAGGCTGGAAGTGTTGATCTGCCCTGGGGGTAGGAAGACCCACAGAAGGACCTGGACAGGCTGGATTGCTGGGCTCAGGCCAACGGGATGAAGTTCAACAAGACCAAGTGCTGGGTACTGCACTTTGGCCACAACAACCCCACGCAATGCTTGGGGCAGAGTGGTTAGAAAGCTGTGTAGAGGAAACAGACCTGGGAGTATTGGCTGATGCTCGGGCACACTGCTGGCTCATGATCTGCCAGGTGGTCAAGGTCAGCAGTATCCCGGCTTGTATCAGAGACAGCGCTGCCAGCAGGAGCAGAGAAGTGACCATCCCTCTGCACTCAACACCTCAAGTATTGTGCTTAGTTTCAGGCCTCTCAGTTCAAAAAAGGCATTGAGGCCCTGGAGCACATTCAGGGAAGGGCAACAGATCTGTGAGGGGTCTGGAGCACAAGTCTGATGGGGAATGGCTGATAGAGCTGAGATTGCTCAGTCTGGAGAAGAGGATGCTCAGGGGAGACCTTACTGCTCTCTGCAGCTGCCTGAAGGGAAGTTGTGGTAAGGTGGGAGTCAGTCTTCTCCCCTCTAACTAGCAATAGGACTAGAGGGAATGGACTCAAGTTGAGCCAGGGGAGATCCAGGTTGGACATTAGGAAATACTTCTCTGAGAGAGTGGTCAGGTGCTGGCACAGGCTGCCCAGGGAGGTGGTGGAGTCACCACCCCTGGAGGTGTTCAAGAAACATTTTGATGTTGTACTGAGGGACATGGTTTAATGGGAGCTATTGGGGATAGGTGGATGGTTGGACTGGATGATCTTAGAGGTCTTTTCTAACCTTGATGATTCGATGATATTGTCCTCCCTTTTTAAAGCAACAGACTGGCATTACAGCAGCAGTTCTGCTTTGAAGAAGAGGTGATATAAGTTCCTCACAAGGGCAGCCCGTATGTAAGTTAGTTAAAAATCAATAGACTGGCTGATTACCAACAAGGTATCCAGCACCATACGCAGGTCTCCAACTCAGGTGAAAAAAGGGCAAGCAATAAGCCCTGCAAGAGGAGCTGCTAACATCACAGCCCCAGCTATAAAGCTACTGGGAATGGCTGGGCTCAGCAGAGGTGGTTCCATTCATCTCTAATTCTGAAGGTTTACCCTAGGATCATGGAAAAGGATTAAGAAACTTTTGTAAATGCAATATGAGAAACAATCTCAGGTGCAATGGTGGTGTTGTTTCTGTTATTTTGAAGTTTAGGATGGTTTCAGCTACTACATCTGTACCCGAGTTCCTTTTTTCAGTGTCTGAAGTCACATCCTTCTGTTTTCAAACTCAACTGAGTCATTCAGCAATTAAACACTGACAGTATCTTGTAGAATTATTTTGTATAATTTACAAAACAGGAGTTAAAGACAGTCAGCCATGCAGTTAGGTATTACTACAGACGTACATGAAATAAAAAGCTATTTCTGAGCTGAATGGGTTGAAGTTAAGCATTATCATTTAATGTTAATTCAGAAGTGGGAAGGAAACCTGGAATGAAAACAAAAGAAAACACTGGTCAGCTGCCTTTCAGGGTATCGAATTGGACCACTCACCTCCACTAAGTAACTTCATCACCAGCCAAAGCTCATCTTTCACCACAAATGATGTGTAGTAAGATACAATGTTGGGGTGGTGGCACTGACTCATTGCTTGAATTTCTTTCTGCAAAGAAAAATAAAATATTAGCAGTTAGTCGCAATGATTGTTGTTCCCCAAGTACAAAAATTATCTCCCTCAAAATGAAACATTCAATGAAGGTAAGAGGAAAAAAAGAGAATACCTAGGAGCTAACCACAAAAATAAAAACCTAGAAACTTTTAATAGTCAGCCTGCATCATACTAGAACCAAGCCTTAAGCTATTCAAAGATGCTTCACCTGTCTATCTCTCTGAGTAACAGAAAACAAAGGTGGATTGAAACCTCTTGGCAGGAGCAATAAAATGATTCTGCTTTCAGCTACAACAGAACACTCCCGAAAACTCACCAGTGTTACCTAAGCAGCTTATGCCACCAATTTCTTTCAGTGATCCATTACACAACAGATGCTTAATCAGGTAAAAACTATCATTTGGATGAGAAAGGAAAATATTTGCCTCTGGGAAAAAAGGGTCTCTCATCCCTAATGTTTCTTCTCAGCATGAAAGCAGATGGCTCAGCTCAATCAGGTTGAGGGCACAAAGGATAGCTATAGCTTTTGTCATATAGGAAGAATAGAGAAAACAGTTTGAAATTAGAAAGTAGTTGGCTACTACAGATGGGAGTACAACAGTAAATATGTTCAGATATGAAACTGCTTGAGTTATGACCATACTTACTCTTACATTCATTTATGGGTTAAGGATTGAGGTTTCACAAAGGGGAAGCAACATGACAGAAAACAGTGACCAATATCTCATTATGCAAGTACTAACAACTAGGTAGGACAAAGCCTCACAGTTTCTTGATTGCCCACAAACAAAAACCACCCATTAAGCCAAGCCTGGCACCCTGCACTACCTAGCTGGGCATCAGTGCTGCATCCAGGCAGGTAATCTCAGCCAAGAGCCCCAGTTTGCCTGACTGCAGCTTCTAGTGAGACACATGCATTCCCCAATACCTGGATCTCCTGTCTCTGAGAGCTGACAATAGACACCACTTACAAAAGGGGAAGGAGAGCAAGACCACCTCACAGCCATGCCCTGATTCCTTCCTCCCAAAGCATCAAACCACAAGAGGATGCTCTGAGGACTCACTCATGCCCAGGAATGCTGACACTGCCTGTTCCTCTCCTACCCATGTATAAAGTTCCGCTTGTGACTAAATGCAGCATAAGAGCCAGCTGCATACCTGGCAAGCAGTGTGAAGTTGCAGCTACACAGAAACAGTGGTACTGATTTATCCAGTTCAATGCTGCTTTCCAGAGTAGGTGTATTTGAGGAATCAAATGCACTTGGTTCCTCTTTCAGCTCCCCCAGTAGAAGCACCAACTTTCCAGGAAGTTCCAATACAAAGATTAAACAAAAATCCTAAACAGGAAGGGATATTTGAAGAGCAGAGGAGTAGGCCATTGAAGTCAGTATAGCGTACACGATGACTTGAAAACCACTCTGTGAAAATAAATACAGCCTGAAATAATATCCTCTGCTTATTCTGACTGCTCTAGCTCTCTTCCCTGCAAACACATAGAATCATAGATGCTTGAGTGAAGCTACTTCGCAAAAAAGGAAATAAATCAGCACCTTCAGAGTTCGCTAATGCTTTTCAATTAGGTTTCTTTACAATGCAGGAAAACTCCTCAACAGACAAAGATGGCAATAAAAAATTGCCTCATTTCCAGTTTCTGCCAGGGGATGGGTGACAGCTGGGAACCTGGATGAACGCAGGTCAGATTCAGTGACTGCTCTGTGCCCTCTGCCATACTGGTTGCATAAAACCCAGTTGCTTAGAAAGCCGTCTGCAAGCACCCACTGCAACTCTATTGATTTGTACCACCTCTCCAAACTCAGTTTATTGAGCTCAGAGTTTCACACTCATTTGCTTACCCTGGAATCATACTGGACTTGCTGACAGCACTGGACAGCATCCCTTTTTAAGGAATCCATAAACCTGACACAGCCTTTGTACCTGCACCTGGAACTACCATTTGATCTAAGGCTTTAAATTAATTTTAAAACATGCATGCAAATGTTTAACAAGTAGAAAAACACATTCACAAATGGCATCAGAGGAAAAAAAAAAAGAGGTGGAAAGAAGCAAGCAGGACGTTGCTCTGCTAGTCCTCATATCAGCCAGCTCTTCCCCAAAGCCAAGATTCTCAGAAATGATCAAGAGTAGCTGGTTTTAATCTTATCTCAGTAAAACCTCTCAAAATATTTTGAACAGGCTCCCTAGGAGATCAAGAGAGTAATTAAAAAATATGCACAAGTATTATGTATTTTATAGATATTAGTGTATCCCACTGGAGTTCAGGAGACAGCAAGATAAAGCCTGGACCGAGTTTATTTAACATACTAGGCCTGGATCAGATCTTTTCCATACGATTAGTGTTACACCACTTCACAGTGATTCTGTAACATTCTGTTTCTATTTTATTATTTTCCAAGAATTTCCTCTCTTGCACATTTACCATATTCCACTCCCTAGGCTAGAAATAACAATTGAAATGAAGAAAAAAAGTTACATTTGTCATAGGCTGCAGTACATAAAAAAGGAAAAGGAAAAACAAATCATATTAAGCTTGATCTATGTGACAAAACACCATCAGCTTGTGGATGTGCAGTAGCAGATTAAGCCAGTTCTTAAACAGCACAGCAAGGCTCTGAATAATAGACTACATCCCACCCCCCAGTTCCTTACTATTACCAGTAAAGAATAACCACAGAATTGTAGGGGCTGGAAGGGACTTCAAGACACCATTGAGTCCAACCCCCTGCTAAAGCTGTTCCCTACAGCAGGGCATACAGGTAGGTGTACAGACAGGTCTTGAATGTCTGCAGGAAAGGAGACCCCACGACCTATCTGCTCAGGCTGTTCTGGTGCTCTGTCACTCTGACAGTGAAGTTCTTCCTTGTGTTGGTACAGAAATTCCTGCTGCCCCTCGTTCTACCACTGTATGCCACCAAGAAGTCTGCATACATTGCTTGGAATGAGTGTGGCAAATCACAGTGGGCTTCGTGGTTAAAATGCTTCCTTGAAATATCGAAACCAGTTCTGTCTTGTATACAAGTGTGTTACAGCACTACAAATGCAAAGATTAAAGTGCTGTAGTTAAGGAAACCCGTCAAGAATCACTGGGGAGCTCTGCACAGAAATACACTTACAGAAAGAGGAGGAGGGGATGGAATGTAGCAATGGTCTTTCTAGGTGCAGGAAGCATGGCTTCAATCTTGGTGCCAAAGTTTTTCAGAGCTTTCACTGCAGAACTGCTCTTCAAACACCACAAAGTAGTATCAGGCAAATGGTTCCCCTTCCCATCTTCTGCTAAAAGACCTCGCTATCCTCAAATCACACAAAGAAACAGCTGAATTATAGATGTGTTGCCCTCACTTTTGCTAGCATCAAAACTACGTTGGAAAACTAATAACATTCTCATCAATTTTTACACATCTGTCATAATGCCAGTGCTAAGCACTGCAATTTATTGGGGCTAATGCACAGAACTTCTGAAATGGCAACGTTTTATTCCTGCTCATAGTTACCAGCTCTTCAAACTAGCTGCAGCTCCAGCTGCTGGTAGACATCCACCCAGTTGCTTTTTTATATACACACACACACACGCACGCAGCTAAATCCCCTCAGTTAAAAGCCACAGCCTTACTGCCAATTCCCCATTTCAAGAGCTATAAATTCAACTGCCTTCTGTTCAGCTATGGAGAACAAATTACTGATAAAAACACATCTAGACACAGGCAGTGGTTTGGAGATGGTTACATGCTCACCCTAGGCTAGATATTAAAAATAACTGTACTGTCAAACAGACTGGGGTTAGCTATAAAGGCCCCCACATCTTCCATTAAGGGTTCTAATGAATGTTTTCAGTGCTTTTGCAGACAATAAAGGAAGCATTTCAAGGCTTCTGAAATGCTAATAAAATTGCTCTAAAGTATAATTTAGAATAATAAGAAACCTATTTATCTCCTCTAAGTCAGACACACTTCTGGAGATCTGCTATTCTGGAAGTACATCTATTTTCCTCTGGTGAAGTTTGAGTCAACAAGAGCAGAGACACAAAGCAGGTAAAGCTGCTGGCTGAACCTATTTCACTGGTATTTTCTGTTCACATTATCACCTTCTTTTCTTAATGCTTATCTGCCCCTGAGGCACATTTCAAAGACATTTGCTTTCAAATACAAGGCTTGCTTTATTTAGTTTTACTTGCTCTATGTTGACATGAACTCAACAGACAGAACACAAGCAATATAAGCAATCTGCTTTCATGAGGGTACCTGCAGGTTTAGAGAACTCCAGAAAGCTGTTTACCTGGCTATCCTACTTGAAAGCAATCATGACACAAGAGAATTGAGTGGGGGAGGAAAGTGGAAATCAAAGCAGGTCAGGTATAGTCTCTTCCCTGAGTACATCAATGCTCCAGCTTCGGATGGTGAAGCACTTCTCACAGCTGAAACTTCAAGGCACAAGGCAATAAATTCTTCTTCATCCTTCTTAAGCAGGTTTAAGAACTCTGGTTCTATCAGCAGACATAACCATAAGCTTTACTTTAAATTAAAATTCTAATGGTTTTGTTTAAAGACTATAAAACTGGAAATATGGATTCATTCCCATTTTTAAATATCAGCATAAAAACCAGGATGTTCTGTCAACTTAAGGATCATTATTTGAAAAAGAAGAGGAAGAAGCACAGAGCTAAAAATCTGAGATTCTGATACAAATTCCCTGTCCAGATTATTCAGTTCAACTCCTTACCTCAAGCCCTGGGGAGAGACTGGCACAACTAAAGGATTAGATCAGCCCATCCAGAGCAACAGAGGAAACTATTACACACCTAATTTTGAAATGGATAAGAAGTCTTCATAAGGAATTTAATGTTAGGCAATGGGAAACAAACTACTGCTGTGACAAGCTGTCCAAGAAACAGCTTCAACCAGTACAGTAATTAAGATCTCTGCTGCTGCTCTGATAACTCTACAATCAAGCAGTACAACAGCTCCAAACCTTCTGTACAA